ACTATATTTAACTAATACAGAAATTACAATGATCAAAAACATATATTATAAAAGATCATTTTTAATTTTACGTATAAAAAATGCAAATGATAATTACTATATTTAACTAATACAGAAATTACAATGATCAAAAACATATATTATAAAAGATCATTTTTAATTTTACGTATAAAAAATGCAAATGATAATTACTATATTTAACTAATACAGAAATTACAATGATCAAAAACATATATTATAAAAGATCATTTTTAATTTTACGTATAATCTTTCCTGACGTTCGTAAATCTCAATCATCATCTTATCAATCTTTTCACCAACAGAATTATCTTTTAAGACTTTAGACAAGTATTCGGTTTCCTTTGTCACTATTAAAACTATTCAACTGGTAGCTTTATCGTTAACTATAATTTTTAATTTAATTTTTTTTAGAGATATGCAATAAACTCATGAAAGACTTTTTATATAACAAATATTACATTTGGTCAATTTATATTACAAAAATTACATTTGGTCAATTTAAAAGATTAAGAATTTACAAACTAAAATTTGTACTAAAAAATGGAAATAAATATGGAATAGGTAACACATCCGGTAAATTTTCCAGGAACGAAGAATTAGAACACGTAATCACGAAAATTGATGTAGCACCACTTCATGTGACCAATCTGTTTGCACAATACTGATTGGTCACATGAAGTGGTTTTGCATCAATTTTCGTAAATACGTGATTCGTCTAATTCTTCGTTCCTGGAAATTTGCAGGAAGTGACACCTTTTCTATATTTAATCCGAAATAAAATTAAAATAATTAAAAACCTTCTTTAATTCTGGGATTAACTGCTTATGTATAAATTTATCGAGATATTTAATTCTCGATTCAATAATTTCAATGTCACTTTCAGAATTAAAGATTTGACGCCATTTGTAGGCTAATAATGGATCGATTGGATTTAATATATTTAAAAGTCTTCTTATTTCCAAATCCGACAACATTCTTCTTTTTCTCTTATTCTTTACGATGTCGCTTGAATGCTCCGAGTTTGTAAAATTTTGGTCATTTTCTTTTTTAAGATGCAAATAATCATTTTCTTGTTTGAGGAGCAAACTTTCTTCCCTGAGGAGAAAACTTTCTTTTCTGACTCGATCATTTTCTTGTTTGAGGAGCAAACAATCGTTCATGACTCGTTTATTCTTTTGCCTGAGGCGAACATTTTCTTGTTTGAGGAGTTTATTCTTTTGCTTAAGGTGCAAACTTTCTTTTCTGATTCGTTCAATCTCATGATTTTCTTTTTTCATATCCTTTTCTTTTATTGCTTTAACTGACTCTTCATCGTCATAATTTATCACAAGAATAAATTTATCTTCGATTTGGGACAAATCGATAATTAAATAGCAAATAAATAAAAATATTGTAAGACAAAAGAAATTGAAAAAATCCATTTTGCAATTTATTTTTAAGAAATGCGATTTCGCACAGCCCTATTTTAAATAAATTCATAGAAATCTAACTCTTGCATAAATAATTAATTGTAAGAAACTTGTTAATGATTATAGAGAAATTTTACATTTATTCAAGTTGCAAATGTGCATTATCGCGCAGCATTGGGCTTAGCACGCGTATTGGAACGCGCTTTTTTTCTTTGTTATTCTCACATAATAATAATTATAATAAAAATACTTGTTTATTCAAAAAAAGGAAAAATTTTTTCATTTTCTCAAGCCTGATGTACATTATCGCGCAGCATTTTTGAGGCTTAGAACGCGTATTAGAACACGCTCATAATTCCAAGTGCTGTGCGATAATGCAAATTTGCGAAAAATCGGGTCTTGAGAAATTTTCTTTTCGGTTTGAAAAAAATTATTATTACTATTATTAAAATGTAAGAACAATATCAATTTAGGTTAATTGTTGCAACTGCTATCATCATGTGCCTTCATACCGCAACAAAAAATATAAATGATAATTATTACATAAACCGGTTTCAAACAGTTAACCTGGTTCGAAATGCATACAAACAGAATAAATCTAATTCAAAAAAAAATTTTTTTTACAACAAAGATCTGATGCTTCGCAAATGAAACAAATTTGATTTTAATTGTACTACAAATTAAAGTCCCTAACCGAATCTATTCTTAACATAGCAAATTCGGCACCATGAAATGTAAAAATGGGTTTTAATACCATAATTAAACAATAATATAAAAACCGGTTTTTACAATAAATAAATCTTAACAAATAACGAAATAGTTTTTAAGCAAACCAAAACATTTACTTTAATAATTTCGAATGAGATTTTATTTAATAATAATATTATGTTAATTATCGAGTTTGCTATAAAAGGATCACAAATCGTTCAAAAATCAATTTCATACAAATTTCTTCACTTAAAATGCCTAAACAAAGAAAACCTAAAAATTACATCCGTACATTACGAAATTCCAATAAAAAACTGACTACAGTACGATGTTTGAACTCAATCAAGTAAAAAAAAACTGACTACAGTACGATGTTCGAACTCAATCAAGTAATATACGACAAATCAAGCAAAATTTTAACAGAAAAAGCGGAAGGGCAAAAATAATTAAATCCTCATCAAGCAAAAGAAATGCAAAAACAAAGAAAGTTACAAAATTCAAAATGGAAAACATGACTTTATTGTTAAAACAAGAGCCAACTAATGTTAGTATAATGCATCGTAAGATTATATAATGCCGTGTCAAGTGATCTGACAAAAAATCACTGAATTTAGGAATTTTTAAAAAATGCATTATTGTGAAACATAAGAACAATTCATTTTTGTTATCATGTCATGTGACTTAAGACTGTTATGTATAATATAATTTTTTTCAGTAATAGTATTTTTTAAACCCGGTTTTAATATATATAATAATGTGAATTATGTTGCCGCAAAATAATGAAAAAATTCCTTTCGTTGAATGGAAAATGTTGAAAGTTTGTCGTTATCTGTGGTACCTGAGAATCGGAAATTTTGAAAATAAAACATTCATCCGAGGAGTTGAAAAGAAGGTGAGTGTGGGCAACCCCCATTCTTACTTAACATGTATGGGTTGAAGTAACGCTGTCACTTAGGTGAACGTTATAGTTGTGGTATACTCTGCATATTGTCGGCCGGATGATATGTAACTATCATGATGATGTCATTGAAAGATGTGGGCAACCCCCATGTTTGTGATGAATAGATCCTTGTGTTAACTTTTTTTTTATTTACTAGAGTCCATAATTAATCAGAAAAATTTTTAAAGAAGAGAGTTACTTGACGAAGAATTATAATAGGAAAATTTAATTGTTATTTACTTTCTTTAAAAAAAATTTTTTTTTACAATTATATGATTTAATTAAAAATTTTTGGAATCGAGTTGTTGCGATAATGAAATAAATTTCTTTCTAATATAAATTATGACAAAATAATTCGAGTAATAAATAAATAAATAAATAATAAATAAATAAAAATTGACTAAATAATGGCTTTGAACTAGTCCTCAATGTGAATAGCTTAAAAGAGAATTGCTATTGAAAATTTCACCAGCAATTCTGACTGACGAAAAATCTCATGAACTTATCAAATGCCATCAGCTCCTGTCATCTCGATCCAAAGAATTCCCATGAAAAATGGAAAATCGATTGAAGCTTCGTTATCTAAGCCAGTCTTAAATATTCGAGCTTTTGCCCTACTTCGCAAGTCATTCCTAAAAAAAAAGACGTTACTACATATATAATAACATTATTAAAGACTTAAAAAATCACTTATCGATTATATTTTTAGCCATAGTCCTCTATACTTGAATAAACGATAGCTCGATTGACTTTCCATTAGATCACGGGAATTCTTTGATTCGAGATGACAGGAATTGACGGTATATGATAAGTTCATAAGGTTTTTTTCGGTAGTTTGAATTGCTGGTGAAAATTTCCATAGCAATTCTCTCTAAAGGCTGTTCAATTTAGAGCACGATTATTTAGAAAATTTGATTTTACAAAAATCAATAAATATTTTGTATTTAAATTTGGGCGAGTGTTGCCTCTCAAACTAATCTAACGTAGATTAAGTCAATTCTTTTCATCTTTCTTCTGTTATTAAAATTTATTAATCCCAACAATTTAAGTACGAACACCACTAATACTATGTTAATTCATTAATATTCTCCAAACTCCCTACTTAAATGCCATTTTTCTAACTTATCTATTTTTTTTTGTAAGGCAAGAATATCTTTATTTATTTCTTTGTGTTCATTGGACAAATAATCTTCTAATAAACGATTATCTTCAGTTAGAGATTCGATTTCTTTTTGTTGGTTTTCTAAAAATTCATCAATGGTGTATTTTACTTTTTCATAGAATATATAATCTTCATAACCTGCGTTTACAATTTTATAATTTGGAACTAATGAAACTTTACATATTTCAATATTGTTTCTATCATTCAATTCCATAACTAATTTTGATTTTTCGGTATTAATAGTTTCAGAAACAGTTTGATATTCCAGACTTTGTACTTTTTCTTCGGTATCAGAGTTGATCTCTCGGACTTGTAGTAGGCTGGATGTATCATTCATTTTTGTTCGTAAGGATTGATATTCGAAAGTTAAATGTGAATATATGTTTTTTATAACTGAAGAAGAATTATAAAATTGATAATAGGGTTGAAAAGATAGTGATTTTGCTTTTCTTTTTATAAATAAATCATTAATCATTCTATTAAATCGGCAGTAGGTTAACGTAGAATAATGCTTTTCGTTTATTCCTCTGTTTCTTATTTTATAAAATTGATTATATTTGGAAACAATAGAGTTGATCTGTAATAAACCATTGTGAATTGAATAATTTATTGGACCTATTTTTCTTGTCGAAATGGTACTGGTGATATTATGATTATCATTTTTGTTGAAAGATATTAATTCCATAAAATTCATTGTGTCTGATTCTTCAATAAATAGGTGTCTGATTCTTCAATAAATAGTTGGCATTTGTTTATTTCTTGGACTAGTAAACAAGCTGTATCATTCATTTTTGTTCGTAAGGATTGATATTCGTAAGTTAAATCTATAACCGAAGAATTATAAAATTGACAATAGGGTTGAAAAGCGAGTGTTTTTGCTTTTCTTTTTATAAATAAAACAATAAACATTCTATTTGGAACTAATGAATCTTTTTTACATATATCATTCAATTCTGATTTTTCAGTATTGATATTCTTTGTTATTAGAGTTGATTTCTCGGACTTGTAGTAGACTGGATGTATCCCGTTGATGTTTTTTTTTATAAAAAACACAAAGATTATTATCCAATGTTCATTTATTTTATGCCAATTCTTTTTCTTATTAATAACTTTTCTAAAGATTTCATCACCAATCATATTTCTTTGACGAATATATAAGATAATGATATTAAATAAGAGCAATAAAAATATTGCGAAATAAAAGAATTTTTTCTCGATTTTTATATTTAAATTGGCTAAAAATTGTTTTATGTTTATTTTAAATAAAAACGAGGAAATTGCAGTATTGATGTAAGAAAGAGGCAAAAATTCATAATTAAAAAAGTCTTGGCTTCTAGATAATGCTGATAAACAAAGTTTGAAGATATTCTTAACGAAAATTGGCTTTGATTTTCATTCAGATGAAAGTCTACTTTTCATAGTAATATCTTCATTTGTGAGTCGATCTTTATCTGAGCAAATGGATTCATATTTGTAGATAGTTCTTGTAAATAATACGGAAAACCAGACAATGAGACCAGAGAAAAAGAAGAAAGGTAGAATCCGGATCATATTCAATGATGCGAAAATCAAAAAAGTCAAAAAAATTAAAATCAAGAAAATTGTACAAACAATTTTCAGCAATAAAAAAATAAAAGAAGAAAAAATTGTAGAGAGCTTTAAACTGTTTTTAAATGACATTCTGTTTTTTTCAGTAATTTTGAAAGCTAGATTTTACACTTTTAATAGCATTTTCGTAATTGAACCTGTTCAAATAAGGAAATGATTAATTCAATTTTGTTTTAATTTATGCTCTTCGCCGTGGCTATTCGTATCACCTATTTTACAAAACATTAAAAAGAAACTCCGTGTTGTGTATGATGTACAGTATATAATGCTGATCTGTTACAGTTATACGCGCTATTGCAAAAGGCTTTTTCGTGTTGATTTTCTCATAAACGAGTTGTTCAAATAAGGAGATCCTAAATTATAAAATTTATGTTATCTTCGCTGCGGTTAT